GTGATGCCCCTAGTGCCTAGCGTGCCTTATTATAAATCCATCACTGAATAGAAGTAAGTCTTGAAACAAGTAATTTGTTATTTGGCAGCCATGTTGCAACAGATGGCAGACTCAGATGTGTTAAGTTGAGACAAAGTATTCATCTTGTATATTTAACACAACAGCACTATGATACCTTATAGAGTTACTCTTTAAATAGTCAGAAAACTAGACATGTGTCATTCATTCATTTTTAATGACCCGATCACTCGCATATTAATTCGTCTTACGAACTGATCATTCAAATGAATCATTTCAAGTTTCAGTACTCTTTGAGACCCGCACAATAATGTCAGTCGTCGGACATCACTATACTCTGGTCGTAGGTCCTGTCAATCGTTTGAACTGGAATATTTAAAAAATGTCACTGCAATCATCAATACTTTGATACGACCCGGGTCAAATTAAAGAATCATTCAGGTTTAGACACATGGCTATCGCAGTTTTCAAGAGCCTACATCTTTATATACGGCTTTATTCTTACTGTATACGAGGCATTCCATTTTCGTCCTCAGGGGTGACAACATTTTGCATTTTGATTCTTAATTGAGGATAGATGTAGATGTCTATGGCCACAGCATCCACTTACCATGAGGTGGACTATGTGCTAGTTTGTTATCCATATGTTATAAACATAACGTCCTTCTTTTCGCGACCTTGCATTCAAGAATCAACCTTGAAAAGTCTTATTTATGTTCTCTCTGCGAATGTCCGATATGGACAAACTTTCGTCTCTGTTTGGTGGTCTTCAATTTATATTTGTGTTATTGCCCTTTATAATAAACTTAACAATTTCTCTGTCCCATCAGTCATATATTAACATAATATTTACTATTTCAATAAAAATCCGCTATAGTACTTGCAATTGACTGAAGTCGAGCGGGCTTTATTCGTGGTTGAACTTGTACATGCACATTGCGATAGTGTGCGTGTGTGACGGAGCGATCAGTTGCGAGCATAGATTAATAAATATATACAGGGTTATTTTGCAATAAGTGGCCAATTTACAGAGAAGGTTCAAATTAAGTAATATAAGCAAATGGTGAAGAAAAATTAATTAAAAAAACATCAAAAATATTCTGTTCTTTTTATCTTTTATATTCAAAATGCGTGTTAATCCATTATTTTAACTGATTTTACTGCGCATCCAGACATTCGTAAGAATCGATCGGTAAGCAAAAACGTTGCCCGTAGATCACAATCAATTTGGGAAAGTCTTATTTGCTCGTATTTTCAAAGACTGCAATAACTGTATATCATTATTTATATATTTGAACTTAAGTTTAGAACTTGGCTACTCTGAAAAATAACCCAGTATATTGGTTCCTGGCGTGCCGTCGTTAACGAAACCGTGCGTGAGAACAAAAGCTTTTGGTCTCACGCACACCACAAGTATATCCCGCTCGACTTCGTGAATTGCAAGAACTATAATTAAGTTTTTCCATTTGCTTTGCATTTCTTCTATAATCTTTTAACTTTTTATACATTTTACTAATTGATATATTTTTATTAGTACATTTTGTTCTTCGTAATTTCCATTTAATTTTATCAACAATAACGACAAAACGACTAATTTTAGTTCATAATATAGAATTGTGTAACGTCTTTATAGTACGATAAATTTCCCTAGCAACTATTGCATTATATTTAACCAGACTTAAGTATACTTACTACTGGATCGGCAATTCAGAACAAAGACCTTCTCACAGCGGTAGACGAGGCGGGCGCAGGCGCAGGCGCCGCCTCGGGAGTGTTTTCATACACAACATTTAGGGTGTTTTTCCACTGGAGATGTGCTATGCTACGTTGCTATGGATGCGTTTGATATCCACCAATCATATTCATTGGTTCATATAGCTTAGCACTGGTGGAAACAGATTCAACTGAGCTATGTTTTTATATAGATGGATGCGTGCTATTGATGGTCGCGAGTGGTGTAGCTATGTGCAGAGCAGAGCTCCCCGTGCCTTCCCTACTGTCGAGACATCGCATAGCTCGAGCTGCGCATCTTCCTCGCACAACTACAACGCGGCGGTGCATCTTCATAGCACATTTACTCGCCCCGCTACATAGCTTAGCATCAGTGGAAACGCTCACGTAGTTTCGTAGCTTAGCTTTCACATCCTCGCAGCATAGCTGCGTAGTACATCTCTAGTGGAAAAGCACCCTTACTGTTTTTAGGCAAATACAAATACGAGTTACGGGGAATTGAGCGTAAGTTAGTGCACAGTGTTTTAAGGCAACAGACACAGAACAGACCCCTTTTAGTAATATATTTAAGAAGTCTTTGTATTTAACAGTTATTTTATATAGCATGGTTTAATTTTAATAATGCTTACTTTTTTTGTTAACTGTCTTGTTTACTAAACTATCTGTCAATTTTAAGTACACCTTCTAATATTCTTAAAAACAATACAATAGCAATAAGCGTAAATGTGTTCAGTAGAGCCAAATGCTAATAGCCTACGCGGCTCGTGTAATGTTTATTATATAAGGATAATCATTAAAATGTATTGAATATTATATTTGTAGTTTGTATCCAAAAATTTTGCTACATACATTTTTTTTTTCGATTAATTAAAATGTTTTATTGCAATATTGGTGTTATGATTTGAATCATATTATATATTGATATTTTGTACGTGGTAGAGCCATGCTGCAGCTATATTATGGTTGTAGCACGAATGGGTCGGCTCGAACGGGGAAGGACCACGCTCTCACAGAAAACCAGCGTAAAATAGCAGCTTAACGCTGCTGTGTTTCGTATGGTGAGTGTAGAGAACCGGAGACCCGTTTTGCTGGCAAAGAGGCATTTTATCTTAGTCCTCAAGGCTGACAACGCGTCTGTATTTTGATTCGCAAACGAGGATAGATGTAGATGTCTATGGGCCGCAGCAACCACTTACCATCAGGTGGACTGTGTGCTCGTTTGTCACCCTATTTCTATAAAAAAAAATCACAAGGACGTATACCTAAAGTAAATGTGCGATTATAATTCCGCCAACTGTTTTTAGGAATTCTTTATGTGAAAGATGAAGGGAAGTGAGAAAAAATTGTATGTTTTGGTAACAAAACTCTTGTTACATTGATAGAGGTCAGTGGGGTTAGCCAAGGTAACTTCATACGATCGCATTATGGAAAACTAAAAATTACTGACATATCTAAAGATGTAGTCACGTGACGTAGCATTGTCTGTCTGTAATATCAAAATAGCTGCCTTATAAGCTGAGGGGTTTATTTGCATGCCACTTAATCATAAAATTTTAAAAATGTTTGCCTGTCTGTCTGTCCGGGCTAATTTTAGGAATGGATGAACCGATTGTAACGAAACTTCACAAACACATGGAGAGCAATGTCAGGAGTGATCTAGGCTATATATTTTATCTGAAAACCTTAGAAATAAATAAAAAAAACGATAAATTGATTGAATAAATGGTCCATGATTGTCTTCTAATCTAAATAACTTACCCAGGCGAAGCCGGGGCGAGTTGCTAGTAATAAATATAATTTTAACACGGCTCGAACGGGAATAGACCACGCTCCTACAGGATATCAATAGCAGCTTAATGACATTGCGTTTCCTATGTCAGTAGAGAACAGATTTTATTGGTAACGAAGCATCTATATTTAGATCTTTATATTATGATAAATGAAGGTGTCTCTGGGTCACAGCATGCGTGGTAAAGCCACGCACTGCATATATATGGTTGCAGTACGCATTCTTACCACCCATTAGTCGGCTCGGCCTGGAAAATATCTACCTATTCTGACACCTTAACGTGTTAGAGCCACGCTGCAGCTATAGCATGGTTATAGTTCTTGTACTATTATTTATTGTGGTTGTAGCAGGAATGCGTCGGCTTGACCAGGGTAGGACCCGCCCTCACAAATTACTAGTTTAATGCAGTTGTTTCGTATAATGTGTGTAGAAAACATGAGACCTTTTTACTAGAAAGTAGGCATTCCACCTTAGTCCTCAGGGGTGTAAAACGCATCTGCATTTGATTCTTAATCGAGGATAGATGTAGTCTATAGACAGATGACGGCTCCGTGGCGCAGTGGCTTAGCAATGAGTTGTTGCGCTGGGGGCCGCGGCTACGAATCCCGCACGGAACAAGTATTTGTATGGCCTACAAAGGTCTGGATGTTTGTCCTCGTGCAATTTATGTTTGTAAACTGCCTCCACGATACAGGAGAAAATCTTAGTGTGGGGGTAACGTCTTTTTAAGAAAAAAAAAAGATGTAGGTCACAATATCTAATTACCATCAGACGGATTGTGTTTGTCATCTTTATTCTATTTAAAAAGCAACTTACCATCAGGTAATGAACAGTGTATTCGTTGGTAACCCTTCTATTAAAAAAAATCCTCCATTCAACATTAATGGTAATAAAGCTAAATAAAACAGCAAAAAATTTGGTTAATGCATTTATCGTTTGATTTACCAATAATCATGGTTGGATAATAACACTATCCAATGTATATAAAAGCAGATAAAATCCAAAAAATTTTGTATACAATACAATGTAAAATTTCGACTTGGTCATCAAAATACGAGTAGACAAAAAATAAATGCACCTTCGCGCCTTATACATGGCAACAATCATAATTTTTGGCAATATCCTCATGACAAAGACACTTTACTGAAATTGCACAACGCCTTTTATAAACATAATTTTTAACGTTAATATTTTTCGATAAATAAATTCTGGCCAATATAATATTAATATTAAAAAAATAAATTAGTGTCCATTCTGACAAGGTAAACAAAAAGTCACTTCTTTCAAACTTTAAAAAACTACAATGACTGATTACTAAAAAAAGCTACTTAGATTTAAATATGACGCAGAAAAAAGCGTGTCCAGTATATTATATTGCTTGACGTCGTAAAACGTAGACATGCCTATCTAACATGATATGCAGATAATAAATTATCTAATTAACAAATAAAACACATTTTTTGGAATATTCAACATTTCTGTTTTTTAAAGTATATTCCACGCTTATTTTGATTTTCCTTTATTACAAAATAGTAGACCGTACCGCAAGGTACATCTTAGGTAAACTTTTATTTACCTACGATCTGTAAGTGAATAAGAAACTGTATATTCTAAAATAAATTTATTGACTGATGGTAAGGCTTAACGGTGTGTCATTGTGCAATTCATAAATCTCTAACTCCGGTTCCGTAGTTAGCTCCTCCTGCTCTGTTTAGAGCATCTTTAAATTGATCGATGTCTATCTCGGCTTGGCTCTCTAATTGCAGTTCCACCGCGAAATTCTGAAACAAAAACAATTTCTTTTAAAGAACAACGTTTATTTATAGTTTTTTAGAAAGACCATAGAGGTCAGCCTTATCATTAAATTTGAATACCAGCGTAAAATAGCAGCTTAAAGCTACTATGTTTCGTGTGGTGAGTGTAGAGAACCAGACCCGTTTTAATGGAAACGCGCATTCCACCTTAGTCCTTAGGGGTGCATTTTAATTCTTAATCGACGATAAATGTAAATATCTATGGGCCACAGCATCCACTTAGCATCGGGTGGACTGTGTGCTAGATTGTCACAATTATTCTATAAAAAATATGATTTTTCATAGTCGTAACCATATTCTTTGACGCCGATCGTTATTCACCAGTGTGTGTATTTTAGATCAGGCATATTTAGCCAGATGGTTTTCCTATTAACTGTCCAAAGTTCGAAAATTCTTCATGGTTTTAGCCCTAGTCTACTTTCATGACCCTCTTAGTCTATACCCCATGTAACTAGATTCTTCTAGTTCCAAGTAACTATAGTAGATCTTACATCTGATTGTAGTCAACGTATGTTTTCCTATCAAACTTCGACCATGACGAAATTTTTGTTTATTCCAAAAACTTCAACGCAATCCCATAAATACTTATTGGTCCTTTATTAACACGCTTGATATTTACACTCTTTACGCTTGCCACTTATGATAAAGTAACATCAAAGAAAAAAATACTATGTCTAGACGGAATAATTTTCTGAATCGAAATCCAATATTTTTTATAGAAATATTGTACACTAAATGAAACTAAATTATCGCCTTTTATTGTAACTTATTAACTCCCGACATTTGGAGCACTTAACAGCACCCATAGTCACGGGAGATTCTTTTAGATTTCATTTCAAACGCACTATGTAAACTTTAGTGTAAAAAAACATAATATTTTACCCAAAGCTGTAATACTTGATATTTAAAGTGAACGCACACTATAATAGGTTTGGCGCGTATACGAGCCGAACGTGTTAAATGAAACGAATTATTAAATTCTTTAAATGAAATATTATCTTTATTTACTGATTTCATTTGATTCCCTTTTTAAGTTTCAGTCTTCTCATTGGTTATGTTGTCTTCAATATCTCCCAAGAACTTCATATGTGACGCATCAGCATATTGTTAAAAGTTTTGTAAACAAAATTCAAATCAGACGAGGCTGTATGGTACAAGTTTTTTGCCTGCCTGAATTGGTGAATTATAACAATAAAAAAATCTGTCCAAACCAACCAACCAACGGTCATTCTTTCTATATATTTATGGAGTGTAGAGAGAAGGAGGACCATCTCTATACTATGAAAAGTGTCCCTAAAAACGTGTCCAATAAGGGTGGCGCTGCAGTAGCATAGGATAAATTTAAAAAAAGCGCCAAAAGTAATTAGAGTAAGATGGAGAAATAAGCAAGGACCGACCAATCCGCTTGGTTTTGTACTACGTAAATAGTTGAGATTTTGTATACTGGCATTTTACTAACTACTCTAGTCATGAAATTTTTTAAATATTTGAATTCAGCTGACTTCACTCCGTTCACAACAGCTATCTTCATATTATAGTTTTTCAGACGGCAGCGCTATTGTGGTAGGTTTTGGAACCTCTATTTTCAGTAAATTATAGGACACTTTTTCAATTTTCGCCCCTTATAAGATGGTTCTCCTTGTACTCTACACTCCATATATATATTCAAAATAAAAAAGACAAGGCTGTGTGGCTTAGTTCCTTTGCCTACTCTCTCGAGTGAATAATAAAAACTACAACAACAACGGTCATTCCGTGCTGTCAAATGTCAATTTATACAGCTATCAGCTGTTCTGCTCCATTGTGTTTACTCTCGCTATTGTTCAATAATTCACTTAAGACAAACTGAATGGTTTAAAATGGAAGAATTACAACAAAAAGTGCCTTGTAGAGAAAACCAACTAAACAATTTATTGAATTTATTAGGGGATTACGATGAACCGTTACCGTATTGTTTATTTATATGCGGTAGTATGGCGACCGGTAAAAGTTTATGTTTAACCACAGTTTTGTGTTATTTAGACTATAAATACGTTATTATTGACTGTATTGAATGTTATACACCAAAAATTATGTTTGAAGCTATATTATCTGGACTGAAGGACGTCGACGATGCTGAATTAAAATGTGATTCGTTGTCCGATCTAGTAAATTGGTTAAACGTGTTTGGGGCCGATAAAAGCACATATGAACCTATTATTTTGGTGTTTGATCGAGCTGAGAGACTTAGAGCGATGGATCAAAACATTATGAGTACTTTTCTACGATTACGCGAATTCTGTAACCTCAACATTTGCACAGTGTTTATAACACATTTAGTTTATGACAATTTTTATTTTAAAATGGGCGCGTTAGAGCCTATTCAGATATTCTTCCCTAACTATACAAAGGAAGACCTATTTAATATTATATTTATGCATCACAAAACATTTGTTGAACAATTGCTAAGCGATCAAAACCTTGATAGTGAAATAAAAGATGAACTCGAGAAACCAGAGTTGTTTGCAAATTTTCTAAATGCATTTTTGAGTGTATTTTACAGACCTTGTCGAGACGTAATAGAACTTCAGCACATGGCACAAATCAACTTCACTAAATACTGTGAACCAATTATAAAAAATGAAATAAAAGCTAGTGACCTAAATAAGCTTTGGCGTCACATATCTCCAATACTCAAATCAAGTTTAGAGCTCCTGTATCTAAGAATAAGTGTCCAGAAACCTGCAACTATATCACCAAGCAAAGAAAGGAGCAACTTTATGGAGTCGCAAATATCAAATTTCGAAACTACTTTAAAAGAAGAACTCATGTCAACAAAAAGTTTTGCACAGAGTTTTGAACTTCCATATTACGCTAAATTCCTTCTTATAGCTGCATACCTCGCCAGTTATAATCCTCCAAAGGAAGACAAAAGGTTGTTCATGAAGAACCATGGTAAGCAACGAAAGAGACTCCAACAAGTAAGAGCTAAAGCAAAAATCAGTGAGAAACTGAACACTCAGCTCGGACCTAAAGTGTTTACGTTAGATAGACTTTTGGCTATATTCTATGCTATTCTTGAGGAAAAGATAGGTTTAACAAGTAACCTGCTAGCTCAGATAGCAACACTAGTTGAGTTGAAATTAATTGCTGGCAATAAGGAAATAGATTTGGATGCAGCAAAATATAAATGCATAGTTGGTTACGATTTTATATCAGCCGTTGCACAGACTGTTGATTTTAATGTTAGAAAGTATTTATATGATTTTATTTGAATAACAATCCTGCGACATCTACAGACATCTTTAAAAGTTGTTTGTAGAAATTTCCAGGTCAATCCAAAATTTTGTATGAACCTAACTTTTACATAATTTATTGTTTAATTTGACTAAGCTTTACTTTAATTTATTATACTTTTAAATACACATTTAATATAAAATATGCAACTTTTAATTTGAATTCATCATTACAGCCCTTCACAAGTCCACTGCTGAACATAGGCCTCCCCCAAAGAATGCCACAAAGCACGGTCCTGAGCCACCTGCATCCATCGACTTCCTGCATGTCTTACCAGGTCGTCACTCCATCTCGTGGGGGGACGCCCTACACTTCGCCTGCCGGTACGAGGCTGCCACTCGAGAAACTTTCTTCCCCATCGGTTGTCGGTTCTTCGAGCTATATGGCCGGCCCATTGCCACTTCAGCTTACTAATCCGTTGGGCTATGTCGGTCACTCTAGTTCTACTGCGGATATCCTCATTTCTGAGTTTATCACGCAGAGAAACTCCGAGCATAGCCCTCTCCATAGCTCGCTGAGCGACCTTGAGCTTCCTCATCCGGCCAGCAGTGAAGGACCACGTCTCAGTTCCGTAAGTCATCACTGGCAACACGCACTGGTTGTACAATTTCGTTTTAAGGTTTTGAGGTATGTCTGACGAGAAGATGTGTCGTAGCTTCCCGAACGCTGCCCAGCCGAGTTGAGTCCGTCGATTGACCTCTCGGTCGAAGTTGGACTTACCTAGTCGGACTATTTGTCCCAGGTAAACATACTTGTCAACAACTTCGAGCTTAGTGCTCCCAACAACTACCGGCATAGGTGTGACATGGACATTAAACATAATCTTTGTTTTGTCCATGTTCATCTTAAGACCTATCCGTTGGGAAACACTATTGAGGTCATTGAGCATAGTGCTTAGGCCCTCCAGCGATTCTGCCATAAGGACTATATCGTCGGCAAATCGAAGGTGAGTGATGTACTCGCCATTGATGTTGATACCGTATCCTTTCCAGTCCAGAAGCTTGAAAACGTCTTCCAATGCAGCGGTGAAGAGTTTCGGGGATATGACGTCACCCTGTCTTACACCTCTCTGCAATTGGATAGGTTTCGTACTCTGGTTCTGTACTCGGATAGCCATCGTAGCCCTACTGTACAAGCACTTCAACACTTCGATATACCGACAGTCAACTTGGCACCGCTGAAGGGACTGCAGCACCGCCCAAATTTCGACGGAATCAAAGGCTTTCTCATAGTCCACATACGCCAGACATAGTGGCAAATTGTACTCTTCGGACTTCTGTACAACTTGCCGAAGGGTATGTATGTGGTCTATGGTGCTAAAGCCCTTTCGGAAACCGGCTTGTTCGGGAGGCTGGAAGTCGTCAAGTCTGCGCGCGAGACGATTCGTAATGACTCTCGAAAACAGCACGTAGACGCGGCTCAGAAGGGAAATCGGTCTGTAGTTCTTCACTTCTGCTCCACGCCTCCGGTGTAATGCCACCATGGAGGACGGAATTAAAGAGCTTCTGAAGGACTTCAAGTACCGGTCTTCCACCCGCTTTCAGAAGCTCCGCTGTAATTCCATCCTCGCCTGGGGCCTTACCGTTTTTAAGGTGCTGGAGAGCCATTCTAATCTCGCTCAGACTGACGTCCGGGATATCTTCGGAATAGTGTCGGATGAGACTCGCTCTTGGATCGTTACTCACACTTGCGTGTGGCTCCAACGATGACGTGTACAGCTGCCCATAGAACCTCTCAATCTCACTCAAAATCTCAGGTGTCCCGGAAACGATGCCGCCACATTCTGTCTTCAGCTTTGACAGTTGGCTCTTTCTGGCAGACAGATCTCTGTCAAAGACTTTGGAGCCTTGGTTCCGCTCGATCGCTTCTTCAATACGAGCTGTATTGAAGTTGCGTAAGTCCCGCCGCATGCATTTGGAGATCTGTCTGTTCAGATGCCTGTATGCTGTCAAGTCTGTTGAAGAATGTAGCTTCATCTCCCGTCTAACAGCCATGAGATTAAGAGTGTGATCGGAGAGTTTTTGTGTTCTTCTGCGGCGGGTCTTGCAGAACTTAGCTCCGACCGCATGGACAGTTTCCACGAGCTTGTCATTCATATCGTCCACTTCATTGCAGTCTTCTAGGCACTGAAAACGGTTTTGTAACTCGAGCTGAAAGGTTTCGGGACTTTGGATTAGAGCACGAGGGGGACGGAGCGTTGACTTCATTAGACGAGACCTCTCCAACTTAACGTTTAGGTTCAGTGTGCCTCTAACCATTCGGTGATCGCTACCAGTTTTCACCCTTGCGATCACGGAGACATCACTGAACAGTTGTCGTCTGGTCGTCATAATGAAGTCAATCTCATTTTTTGTCGAACCGTCGGGGCTCGACCAGGTCCACTTCCTGTGGGGCCGCTTCTGGAAGAAAGAGTTCATCATAAAGAGTCCCTCTTTCTCCATGAAGTCGGCCAGCTGCTGACCCCTTGGGTTCCGTTGCCCTATTCCAAATTTCCCTACTTTCAGCTCACCGTTTTCTCTTGTGCCTAGTTTTGCATTGAAGTCTCCCATTAACACCGTATATTGGGTTTTGGAGGAATGCATGGCTCTAGAGATATCCTCATACATTTCCTCCACCTCCTGATCGGGGTGTGCCGAGGTTGGTGCGTAAACCTGTATGACCTTCAGCGAATACCGTTTGGTGATTCTGAGTATAAGGTACGCAACCCTCGTCGACACACTCCCGATCTATACAACGTTGTTAACGAGAGACTTGAGGACGATAAATCCGACACCTCCTTGGGACAGATGGTCGCCCTCCCGGTGATAGAGCAAGTTGCCGGATTCGAGGATTACCGTGTCCTCCCCCTCTCTTCGGACTTCGGATAATCCTATAATATGCCAGCGCAACTTGTCTATCTCTTCTTCCAGCTCCACGATCTTCTCGTCAGTCCTCAGGGTGCGTGCGTTGTACGTTGCCAGGTCGAGTCGTCTAAGGTGGCAACCGAACCTCCACCGGAGATTCTTAGCACCCCCTGCCCCGCCGTTACCATGGTCGCCACCGTAGCCAGGAATAGCGGGGCCGCCGGGGACTGGGGGCCGTCTGTTTGTTGCTTTAGTCATTGGGGGGTATTTGCCATAGTTGCCACGCTTGGCGAGCGGGTTGGCAACCGCAGTTTTTTTATTATAATTTTTGGCTATTATCAGGAAGATGCTGCTGCCCATCTTCTGCCTGTTTCCCTTTGTCGCCTTTTACGACACCCACGGGAGGATATGGGGTAGTGGATATTCTTGACCGCCACTACACGGGTTTAACTTTTAATTTGAATTATGTTACAATTATTGCTAGAATCTTATAATTGAATAGAATAGAATAGAATATTTTTATTCAATATACATTACATGTGTAATTCTTATTGAAAGTCATTTTTTACTTTACCACTGGTTCGAAAAAAACCCTCTGTCCTGGGAAGAACCAGCAAGAAACCCAGTGGGACTTTTTTTTAAAATAAATTTTACAATATAAATTATTACGAACTATTTACAAAATTTATTTTAGAAACTGCTTGGAAGCGATCACCTCATTCCCAGGGGTTATTATCAACCATGTATTCATTTATACTATAATAACCCTTTTTATACAGTTTCAGCTTAATAAAACATTTAAACTTGGTAATAGAGAGAACCTGTACACTTTCCGGGACCTTGTTGTAATAGCGTATACATTGCCCCAAGAATGAATTACTGACTCTGTGGAGTCGAGAAACTGGTATCACTAGCTTGTGTTTGTTTCTAGTGTTTACAGAATGTATATCACTTCTTTTACTAAAACTATCTTTGTTTTTGTGAACATACATTAAATTTTCGTAAATATACTGAGAGGCCAAAGTTAATATATTAATTTCTTTAAATTTATCTCTAAGAGACTCTCTCGGTTTTAGATGTAAAATAAAAAAATGGCCCTCTTCTGTAAAACAAAAATAGTTTCTGAATCAGCCGCATTTCCCCATAGCAAAATCCCATAAGACATTATGCTATGAAAATAACTAAAATAAACTAATCTAGCTGTCTCGACACTAGTGAGACCTCTAATCTTTTTTACAGCATAGGCTGCAGAACTTAGTCTGCTTGCTAATTTGGATATATGGGGGCCCCACTGGAGCTTTGCGTCAAGAGTGATGCCAAGAAAAACAGTGGATACAACAGGGCTCAATTCCTCCCCATTTAAAAACACATTGGTATTCAGATTTTGAACATTCGTTGTTGTAAATTTAACACAATTAGTTTTATTTCCGTTCAAATGCAGATTATTAACGTTAAACCAATGCACTAATTTTGATATAGCATTATTCACTTCGTCACATTTAAATGATTGACGTTTAAGTTTAAAAATCAAGGAAGTATCATCAGCAAATAATACTATATCATGACTATCCCCTACAAGGTGAGGTAAGTCTCAATTGTTCGGATTAATTCCAGCCGCCAAATTTCACAAACGCACATCGTGTCAAAATTCACGTTACAATCCTCATCATCTGGATGCTTGGCGGTCCACCATTGTGTGCTTTACTAGGAGTTTTCTTCCTCGTACAATTTATCTGTTGAATTGTTTACCACCGGCAAATTTTATTTTATTTTAATACGACAATACGACTTAGGGACCTTCAAGAAAAGAGCTTACACCTTTCTAAAAGGCCAGCAACAACAATTCCGCTGGTGTTGCTGTTGTTGATGGGCGGCGGCAGGAGGCCTCCTCTCATTTCCAAGAGGGTTTTAGAGCAAGGAAGTATCTACCGCTCTGACCAAATGTGTGTTGGAGGCATGTAATGCTAAAGTAGTATGGTATTAAAACCCCAAAAGGCCTGATATTGCTATTTCTATAATATGATATCGATTTTGCAGTCTTCCTGTTGTAGGTGATTATAACATTCTTCCCTACTATAGAATTTCAACATTTTCGGAAAGTTCAGTTCAAAATACGCAGACAACATCTTTGAACATAGCTTTATCTGAAATATGTGAGTGCTCCTTAGTAGTTTTAGGTAATAGCAATATAAACAAGCAATACATCTTTCAGTTGCTGTCAAGGAATTACAGTGAGATTTCCAGTAATTCGTATATCAAAAACTAAAATGATCTACACGATCAGTAAAAACTCCAAATACGATTTGCCCTAATTATGTTTCATTATTTTTTTAATTAAAGTAAAATAAACAAATGAACATACAGTCCTTAATATGTACTACCGTGTGGAAGTGGCTACTACCTTCCATGGATGCCTGTCACCAACTTTAAACAAGTAAGCCTCCAGACGCTTTGTCCCTCTGAGGACTAAGGTTACAGGCTACACTGACTATGGAGCAGGGGTAATGAACCTTTATGTATCAACGTGCCATTTTTCTAAAGAAATGTTTAATGAAGTCTTAGACGTGCCATATCATAATTTTGACTTCGTGGCGTAGGATCACTCGCGTTCGTTCGTATACTTCATATATATTATAATAATTCATAGTGAACTTTATGATCGGTGGCGTGCCCAAAATATTGTGTCGCGCGCCGTCGATGGCACGCGTGCCATTGATTTGCCATCCCTGCTCTATTGCCTTGAGACCAGAACACAAACAAGTAGACCGGACCCACACGGACTCCTAGCTTAAATGTTATTCGAGATGGAGATTACAATTAATTATTATTATCAATAGACAACATTATTTTTCCATTGTAGAATGTTTTAACAATCGTAAAAAAAAACTTACGGAAATGATGTCCTTGACGATAGCCTTGTCGGTGGACATCTTGGCGCGATTGATGACCGACACGTTGGGCCCCACCCACGTCATAAACATGAATTTGCGACGTTTCGACATCTCGTCGCCCATTTGCAACCTGCCAAAGAAAATATACAAATTATAATGTCTGCCTTAAATACTGTAATTGTCAACCCGCGTGACACAACGGTAGACCCCCTTATGAGCCAATGTACAGGGAGGGCTCTGTTCAGCAGAAGACTTTGAATGTCCAAGAGTTCTATCACCCTATCTTAATGATTGAAAATGCAAGAAAAATCTTCAAGGTATGGTATAACATCATGGGAGGAAATTACAACACGTCCTCCATTCAGGTATACCTCAAAACCTGGAAACGAGATTGTACAACCAGTGCGTGTTGCCAATGATGACTTATGGATCTGAGACGTGGTCCTTCACTGCTGGCCATATGAGGACGCTCAAGGTCGCTCAGCGAGCTATGGAGAGGGCTATGTTCGGGGTTTCTTTGCGTGATAAACTTAGAAATGAGGATAGTAGCCCAACTGTTTAGTAAGATGAAGGGGCGATGCGCCGGCCATGTAGCTCAAAGAACCGAACACCGATGGGGGAAAAAGGTTCTCGAGTGGTAGCCTCGTACCGGTAGGCGAAGTGTAGGGCAACCCCCCCACTAGATGGAGTGACCTGGTAAGAGATGCAGGTGGCTCAGGAAAGTGCTTTGTGGCATTCTTTGGGGGAGGCCTATGATTAGCAGTGCACTCGTGAAGGGCTGTAATGATAATGATGATGATGGTATAACAATCTCGTTTGTGCCGGACGTAGAATACCTAGATCAACGACGGGCAGCTCAGGTCGGGTGCCAAATGTGACGATTAAGGCCATCCATCATAGAATAAATGAGAAGTATAACGTACCGTTTCAAATAAAAGTCGGCCAAGTGCGAGACGGACTCGCGCATGTACGGTTCCGTACCATTGTAAAACACGTTTCTAGTAGGGGAGGTCCCTTTAATTTTTAATTTATTTTTATTATTTGTTGCTATAGCGGCAACAGAAATACACATTCTGTGAAAATATCAACTGTCTACATATTACGGATCATGAGATACAACACGCTGACAGACAGACGGACTGACAGCGGAGGCTTAGTAATAGGGTCCCGTTGGTTACCCTTTGGGTACGGAACCCTAAAAAGTAACTTTAATATAAGCCAGCGCTTAACTACAATCCCACCTGATGGTAAGTGGTGATGTCGCCTAAGATGGTGAAGCGCACTGACGGTATGGTTGGTAAGATTATTTTTAACCAAATTCTGGTCACCAATAAGCGTCTAATCCTCCTTTCCATTGAGTTCAAAGCAGCTAGGTGGCATTTTGTAGCACCAGCCCATATATGGCAACAATACTTAATGCACGACCGGACTTACACTTTACATAGAGTAAGCAGCTGCGCCGGCGTGAAAAACCGCCGACCCTTTGCTAGGCCTCTTAGCTTCTTTGCGGCTGCTTTGGCCTCGGAATCAATGAACTGCCCTAAGTTCTGGTTTGAGGACATATACCCCAATTGATGCGGTCGGTGTATTCCAGTGACACATTTCGGAAAGAGGAACACCGGCGTTAGTTCTCATGGGATCGGATGAGCGCCATCGACGATGACTTGGAGAGACCGTTCACTCAGAAAGTCCTTTAGAACTTTATTACTACTACAGCCCGTCACAAGTCATCTGCTGAACATAGGTAACCCCTATAGGTTACCAAAGTACGGGCCTGAGCCACGTACATCCATCGACTGTCTGCGTGTTTCATCACCTCGTCACTCCAGGTAGTGGGAGGGGCACCTACCGCTGCGCTTGCCATGTTGAGTGGGTTTTTTACGTGGTAGAGCCATGCTGCAACTATATTATGGTTGTAGCACGAATGGGTCGGCTCGACCGGGGAAGGACCACGCTCTCACAGAATACCAGCGTAAAATAGCAGCTTAACGCTGCTGTGTTTCGTATGAGTGTAGAGAACCGGAGACCATTTTTACTAGAAACGAGGTATTCCATCTTAGTCCTCACGGGTGACAACGCATCTGCATTTTGATTCTTAATCGAAGATAGGTGTAGATGTCTTTGGGCCACAGCAAACACTTACCATTAGGTGGACTGTGTGCTCGTTTGTCACCCTTATCCTATAAAAAAAATACATAAAACATTTTTGTACACCATATTTTTTTTAATAAAATGAGGGTACCTAACGAGCTCCTTCCCCTGTCGAGCCGACCCATTCGTGCTACAACTATACCAGAAATATAGCTGCAGTATGGCTCTACCACGTATAGCTTATTTTAAGATGTCGTTTATGAGGCATTCCATCTTAGTCATCACGGGTGACAACGCATTTGCATTTTGATTCGTAATCGAATATAAATGTGTAGACATCTCTATGGGCCACAGCAACCACTTACCATCAGGTGGACTGTGTGCTCGTTTGTCACCCTTATCCTGTAAAAAAAGCTAATAAATTTTTTTTAACATATTTTCATATCACATTTTTATATCTAAAGGTGATTTGTTTTGTAAAAAATTATACAACCGTAACCGTACTTACCTGAGATATCCAAAGGCGCGTTCGTCGTCGGCGAACTGCTTGCGGAATTCGGTGAAGTCGCTGCCCCGCGCCGAACACACGATGCGGGAGCCTTCAAATTTGAACACCGCCCTGCGATACCGTCACACGTTACTAGACAATGAGAGCAGCGTTGCCAACTCTACGGATTCCTCCGTAGATCTACGGAATTTTGTCATATTATACAGAATTTGATTACCATGTTAATCAATTTTTTTGTACTTCACAGCCGTTTCAGAATAATTAGATTTTCAAAACTTCACAAAAAAAAAACATTTTTTTTTATAATGAATGTGAAGTTAGCCGACAACCGACAATCGAATTAATTTTTTTAGTATAATAACTATCCACAAATATTTAAGTGTTAATTATTTTATTTCTTTTTTACTAAAAATAATTTAATTATAATAAAATAATTAATTTTTAAACAATTTTTATGCTACTTTTTTCTTATATGTGCAGCTGGATTCGATGTTATAGGTACTACAATTGAACTTATATATATAACAAGAATTTACCTGACAAAGAATTTCTCCAAAAATTGATCTAATTTATGACAAAAACAAAAAGATTCGTTCGTCTTAAGAAGTAGATAGCATCTACGGAATTCTAAGGAAATTTCCGATAAGGGCAACTGCAGACCCGATTGAATAGCCTAAGTAAAAAGGCATAATTCGAGGTTTCGCTCTCTACCATTTCCTCCTCCAATATTGGAAAAATTAAAAAGATATTGCATAAACTGAATAAGAAAGATATAAACTGTGTCGCTATGTTTTTCTTTTTGTAGTATTAGTTATCAAATTTGAACACTAGGCCTCTGTTGACAGTGGTCTAAATAGGCAATTTTGAGCATTTAGTAAAGGTTCTAGTGCTTATAAAGAAAATGTACTTATCATAAAAAAAGAAAACATAGGAACATAAAAGAGGTTGATATTTATTTTACTGTAAAAACTCATTGCTATAAGGTCATATACCAGAAACAAAACAGGCGAGTGTTTGTATGGAGAAAAGACCACCCACCTTTCCTCTTAATGTTTCTTTCTCTATTAATAGTTATATTTTATACTAGCTGTGGCACGCGCCTTCGTCCGCGTGGAATTTATTACGATTGGATTTCATGGGTTTTAATTTTTTTGCACGGAACCCTAATTTTTTTTCTAAAGTAAAAGTAGCCTATGTTACTCCTTATAATATCAGCTATCTGCCAGTGAAGGTCCCGTCAAAGTCGTTCCAGCCACACAGACAATAGTTTAAAAAAAATATTAAAATTGTTGTTATAACCGATGTGCATCATTTATACGGATTTAGTAAAAAGCTGTTATTTTGAAATTACAAACAGACACTTCAATTTTATTTATTTCTATAAATTGATTAGATTAGAAATTAATAAACTAAACTACGGATATATTCCTAAAAGTAGCATAATTAAAATAAGGTTATAAAATGTGAAAAACAGCAACAAACTACTGTGGCATTATTTTATGTATTTAAATAATACTCTAGAAACCGATAAAATTTCATTTAAACGCAACTTCCCAATTATGTGACACTGTCTAAAAAAAATTCACGTCCATCACAACTAGCGACATCTGGCGAGTGGAAAATTATTAATCCTAATTCCCAGGAGATTATATAGCTTTAGCTGTTAGTTCTTAGCGTTAGTTGTTAGTTCTTAACTATTCTTACAACTAGACTGCCTCATTGTTCTAGCGGTCGTAAACACGACTGCTGATCATGAGGTCCCGGGTTCGAATCCCGGGTCGGGCCAAAAAATGCAGTTGCCTATTGATATTGATTTTTCTGTCAAGAAATTCTCAGTAGCAGCGTGAAGTCAGGAACTGCGGTTGTCTACTCGCCTGCCAGTCGAGGCTACTATGGCAAGTAGTGGGGGGGTGGATCTATGAAGGAGCCCTATCTACGTTCAGCAGTGAACTTTTTACGTGCTTTTGTAATGATGATGAACAAAATTATCAATAATCTGTATTCAAAGTTGAATAAAGAATTATTGTATTCTAAATATTCAAAAGGACTAATTGATATCCATCATAATTGCAGATAGACGTACCAATTTATTTAGCAAAAGCAAACTAAAGAAACAACCAACTACGAGTGTGACTGAATTTAAATACAACCATTTCTAAGTTTAGAGTATTTTTTTTTTGGAGTTTATGGCCTGGTATCTAGACCTTTAGGCCAAAGTTTAGAGTAGACTCTATGTCAGTGTTGCTACCACCCACTCACCTATTTCTGCCGTTAAGCAGTAGCACGTGCACTGCTGTGTTCCAATCAAATGTATAGAGCAAATAATAAGTACAGGCTGTGAGGCATTATTATCTTGGGTATCCGTAAAGTGTTCTCATCTGGTTGGGCTGAATAAATATAAAAAGAAATGATAATTTTTTTTTTCTAATTTAAAAAAAAACGTTAACCCCACACTAGGATTTTCTCCTGTGTCGTGGAGGCAGTTTACAAACATAAATTGCACAAGGACAAACATCCAGACCCGGAACAATTATTTATAGGCAATACAAATACTTGTTCCGTGCGGGATTCGAACCCGCGGCCCCCAACGCAACATTTGATTACTAAGCCACTGCGCCACGGAGCCGTCAATATACATAGATATGTATTAAATATACTAACATTAATAAATAAATAAATAAAATCCCAACCAGATGGAAGCCCTCAGCAGGGGGAGACCGAACGGCCGAGGGTTAGGGGGAAAGGGAAAGAAACCGGCGGACGATGCGGGCGGTATCGAGGAGCACCGTGTTATGCATTTGAGCCAGGAACGGTCCGTCACGGAGTCCCAGTCGCCTCAGATCATCCGAGAGGCTGACCGGGATTAGCCCGTTCGCAGAGACGACTACAGAGGTATAATTTCGTTCGTCAGACCACCCCACATGTCGGTCGCCTCGTGAGCCAGGTCCAGATATTTTGTCAGCTTATCTGTTTCGGCTTTCACGAGGTTCTCGTCATAAGGAATGGTAATGTCGACCAAAAATATCCTTGACTGTGGCCAGTCCAACAGCACAATAGTACACTGTCTGTGATGATGGCCCGGTTCCAGTAGAGCCTTTCGCGGTCCTTTTCGAGCACGGCTTCCGGCAAGTACTTATAATATGGCAGTTTTTAGCAGGTAGTGCTCGCAGGTCAACAGATAATTTGTTCCAGAGGGAAATGGAAGTAACTGTGAAAGAATTTTACATAAACCCAGAATGGCGGAGAGGAGTAGACAGTAACAAACTGTGTGAAGAACGGAGATTGAGAAAATGAGTGTAAGGCATCTCTTAGACTCAAGGAGTGACAATGTATCTGTAGTTTTTTTAATTTGAAGTTGCTTGCAAGTTTCCAGGGCGGCAGTACTCACCATGAACTTTCAACTGGTATGTCACTTTATGATTATTAAAAAGAAATAAAAACTAGATGTATAACCGATGAAATATTGTAAGTAAAAATTGGATCAATAGAAAAAAAAAACATAACTCACCACTCGGTAGGCGTGGCGTCAGACCGAACATCCTCGTATGCGGCCCGTATTGTGTCCCGATCAAGACCGGTTGTCATAGCAACCTGTAAAAATATTTTCATTAGTCCTATATGAAAATGAAAACTATACCTTTAATATATTTTGTCTAAACTTTAATAACTTGAATATATCCGTAACAAGAAAAAAAGAGTCTAAAAAGCGATTGCTAAAAATGTCGTTATGAATAGAAGAATATATACTCAAAAACGTAATAGAATAGAATAATTTTTATTTTTTATATATATTATATATTATTACATAATACTTATGTATTGAAAGTCAGTTTTTGTTTACCACTGGTTCGGAAAATACCTCTGTCCTGGGAAGAACCAGCAAGAAACCCAGCAGGACTTTTTTTTAAACTTATTTCACTTTACAATAAATTTTGTTTGTACAAATTTTAAATGAGTTTTAATAAAACCAGCATGGTGGCGATCACCTCATTCCCAGGGGTTTTTTCACTTGTGTATACTTTGATATAACCCTTTTTGTACAAATTTTCTTTAATAAAACATTTAAACTTATTTATTGACAAATTTTGTACATTTTCTGGTATTTTGTTGCAAAAGCGTATACATTGCTACATAAATTAATAATTACTAATTCTGTGGAGTCTATATAGTAACTGGTATTACAAGCTTATGTTTGTTCCTAGTTTTTAAAATATAAAGATCTTTATTCTTATCAAAGACAAAACAAGAAAAACAGTGGTATCTATCCACAAGACTCAACTCCTCCCCATTTAAGAGCACATTGGTATTTGAATGTTTAACATTAGGTATCGTAAATTTAATACATTTTGTCTTATTGCCGTGAGCAAATTGTTGGCGTTAAACCAATGTACTAATTTCGATAGAGCATTATTTACATCGTCATAATTAATTAACTGTCGTTTGAATTTGAAAATTAAAGAGGCATCAGCAAATAATACTATATCGTGATTGTCTCCTAGAAGATAAGGTAAGTCATTAATATAGACTAAGAACAAGAATGGGCCAAGAATCGACCCTTGACGAACGCCCATTGATTCTACTGATACGGAGGAACCTTTACCATTGATAACGACTTTTTGAGTTCTGTTATTTAAATATGAAATTATAAGTCTAAGCGCAATGTTTTTGACACCGTAATATGGTAGTTTCCTGAAAACTATAATTAGAACACCGTTACAGCCTATTAAAGTCCGCTGCTGAACATGGGCCTCCTCCTTCATAGGAGGAATATTTGCCAAAGTTACCACGCTTGCCAAGCGGATTGGCAACTGTAGTTTTTAGGGTTCCGTACCCAAAGGGTAAAGGGGTTTGTCAGCTGGCTGTATCTCATGATCCGTAATAGGTAAACAGTTGAAAGTTTCACAGAATGTGTATTTGTGTTGCCGCTATAACAACACATTAATGATAAAAAATAAATTTAAAATTAAAGGGGGCTCCCCTAATAGAAACGTGTTTTACGATGGTACAAAAGCAGAACCCTTCGTGTGCGACGCGAGTCCGACTCGCACTTGGGCGGTTTTTTTTTTAGTCGTTATTAGGAAGACGCTGCTGCTGCCCATCTCCTGATTTGTTTCCCTCTGTCGCCTCTTACGACACCCACAGGATAATATGGGGTAGTGGATAGTATTACACAGCCATTACACGATAAAAGAATCACATTGCCAAAAATCATTATATTATGTTAGTAATTAAGAGATTAAGTAGTTAGTAATTAATAAGTTATTTATTAATGAGGGCTAATCGTTTTCTGTTCACCAGATGTCGCTACTTGACACTGAGATAAAGTATATAAAAGTAAAAAAAAATCTACTTTTATGAATATCTGTGATTTAGTTTCATCATCATTACAGCCTTTCATAAGTTCACTGCTGAACATAGGCCTCCCCCAAGGATCGTCACTCCATCTCGTGGGGGGTCGCCCTACACTTCGCCTACCGGTACGAAGCTGCACTCAAGAACCTTTCTTCCCCATCGGTTGTCGGTTCTTCGAGCTATATGGCCGGCCCACTGCCACTTCAGCTTACTAATCCGTTGGGCTATGTCGGTCACTCTGGTTCTACTGCGGATATCCTCATTTCTAAGTTTATCACGCAGAGAAACTCCGAGCATAACCCTCTCCATAGCTCGCTGAGCGACCTTGAGCTTCCTCATACGGCCAGCAGTGAAGGACCACGTCTCAGTTACATAGGTCATCACTGGCAACACGCACTGGTTGTATAATTTCGTTTTAAGGTTTTGAAGAATGTCTGACAAGAAGATGTGTCGTAGTTTCCCGAAGGCTGCCCAGCAGAGTTGAATCCGTCGATTGACCTCTCGGTCGAAGTTGGACTTACGTAGTCGGACTATTTGTCCCAGGTAAACATACTCGTCAACAACTTCGAGCTTAGTGCTCCCAACAACTACCGGCATAGGTGTGACATGGACATTGAACATGATATTTGTTTTGTCCATGTTCATCTTAAGACCTATCTGTTGGAAGACACTATTGAGGTTATTGAGCATGGTGCTTAGATCCTCCAGCGATTCTGCCATAAGGACTATATCGTCGGCAAATCGAAGGTGAGTGATGTACTCGCCATTGATGTTAATACCGTATCCTTTCCAGTCCAGAAGCTTGAAAACGTCTTCCAATGCAGCGGTGAAGAGTTTCGGGGATATAACGTCACCCTGTCTTACACCTCTCTGCAATTGGATAGGTTTCGTACTCTGGTTCTGTACTCGGATAGCCATCGTAGCCCGTACAAGCACTTCAGCACTTCGATATACCGATAGTCAACTTGGCACCGCTGAACGGACTGCAGCACCGCGCAAATTTCGACGGAATCAAAGGCTTTCTCATAGTCCACATACGCCAGGCACAGTGGCAAATTGTACTCCTCGGACTTCTGTACAACTTGCTGAAGGGTATGTATGTGGTCTATGGTGCTAAAGCCCTTTCGGAAACCGGCATGTTCGGGAGGCTGGAAGTCGTCAAGTCTGCGCGCAAGACGATTCGTAATGTCTCTCGAAAACAGCACGTAGACGCGGCTCAAAAGGGAACTCGGTCTGTAGTTCTTCAAGAGAGCGTTGTCACCTTTCTTGAAGAACAAGATCACCGCACTTCTGCTCCACGCCTCCGGTGTAATGCCACCATGGAGGACGGAGTTTTTGTGTTCTTCTGCGGCGGGTCTTGCAGAACTTAGCTCCGACCGCATGGACAGTTTCCACGAGCTTGTCATTCATATCGTCCACTTCATTGCAGTTTTCTAGGCACTGAAAACGGTTTTGTAACTCGAGCAGAAAGGTTTCAGGACTTTGGAACAGAGCACGAGGAGGACGGAGTGTTGACTTCATTAGACGAGACCTCTCCAACTTAACGTTTAGGTTCAGTGTGCCTCTAACCATTCGGTGATCGCTACCAGTTTTCACCCTCGCGATCACGGAGACATCACTGAACAGTTGTCGCCTGGTCGTCATAATGAAGTCAATTTCATTTTTTGTCGAACCGTCGGGGCTCGATCAAGTCCACTTCCTGTGGGGCCGCTTCTGGAAAAAAGAGTTCATCATAAAGAGTCCCTCTTTCTCCATGAAATCGGCCAGCTGCTGGCCCCTTGCGTTCCGTTGCCCTATTCCAAATTTCCCTACTTTCAGCTCACCGTTCTCTCTTGTACCTAGTTTTGCATTGAAGTTTCCCATTAACACCGTATATTGGGTTTTGGAGGAATGCATGGCTCTAGAGATATCCTCATACATTTCCTCCACCTCCTCATCGGGGTGTGCCGAGGTTGGTGCGTAAACTTGTATGACCTTCAGCGAATACCGTTAGCTGATTCTGAGTATAAGGTAATACTATGTAGGTAAAAAACACGTTTCCAGTAGGAAACCTGTTTTTTACCTATATAGTATTAAATCTTGTACGATGGTAAGGAACCCTTCATGCGCGACTCCGACTCGCCCTTGACATTTTTTTATATTTGCAGATACAATATATAAATATTGTATAGCCTGTGTCACTCCCAAAATTAAAACGAATTTAACAACATCTCATATTATGTTAAAATCCATCAAGATACAGCTACAGAGCGTGCCAAAGAAATAGATAGATAACCCTACTTCTGGGGAAGTCAGGTAAAAAGGGTATCTGGCTCTCGTCACTCACCACTCTAAACACAGCAGCATTATACGACAGTTTACGTTAACATTCTGTTCGAAAGATGACGTCACTGTGTCGTGCGGACCCATTCTTCCTACAACCATTTTACCACAGATTACTAAATAGTTTACAAAAATTTTACACTTTTTTTTTATATAGGATAAGGGTGACGACAAACAGCTACAGTGACTACAGCATGACGTTTTTTTTTTACCTATTTCAAGGGTATGTTTGACCAAGCATACCTTTGAAGAACAGGAAAATTCTGAATGACACGATTCGATTTCTTGAACATCGTCACTAGGACAGGAGTTGTCTTCTTTTCCCTCCTTTACGATGGCATAGAGATCATCGATGCGTTTTCTTAAAACGTTAATTTCACTTCTGAATTTCCTTCTATCCGTTGCCGACTCTTCTAAAGCGATCATTTTTTCGGAAAATTGCGTCAATATATTACGAAACTCGTCTACATTTTTGGTGAGAGCGTCGAATTTAGTAACAATATTGTTTTGGTTGTCCGATAATTCCCTCACACGATCGTGTAATGACTTATAATTGCCTTCGATTTGTTCAGGGTGGCCATCTGCATACATATTGAACACTTATATATTTTCAGAAATAGTGTAAACTATTATACATTACACTTAGCACATGTTTTAGATTAATTGAATATGATATTTTAAAGATACATTAATATGATTTCATTATTAAATTTGACGTTATAACTTTTTCCTTATGTCGTACATTTCACCAGATATTTTGCTCGATTACTTGTAAGCGTGAAGGTTTCTTGTAGTGTTCGTATAATCTATGAATTAAAACTATTATATTATGATAGCTCTATATTTTGGTGTTTACGTAAAATATGAATTCTTAATAATATTATCGTGTTAAAATATCTATTTATGTCAGTAATAAG